CCAATTATATTAAAACTGTCTAAACATGTAGGCCTACATTCATATAGATTGCTAGGTTATACCACTGGATTAACTGTAGCCTACATAATGTCAGTTATAGAAAACTTGTTTATAATACAAATGAAAAGCATACAAAAGTTCTGATGTTGTTTTAAATGTTCTTCACACATATTCTTTTTCCGATGCGTTTGATTTCGGTGCCGGGTATTTGGGGACGAATGCTCGTTCCTCTTTCTGCTGGCACTGGCAGCACAGTATCGCGCCCCCGCTGAGCAGCAGCCCCGCGGCGGCCCAGCCAGTGTAGTGCGACGCCCCGAGCTCCCGTCTCTGCACGTCAGACACGAGCGGGTCGTAGAAATCCCGGATAATGGTGTGCGCCGACCAGGAGACGGGTGTGAGACACAGCAGTCCACTAATGATGAAAAACACCCCTGCAGATATGACAACTCTTGCCTTCGAGGCTTTGTTCTCGATACAGGTGGTGCATTTCCCTCCTACAACCGCCAGGAGAATGCCGAAGACAGAGAGCACGATGGAGAGGACAAGCAAAGCGCGCGCGGCTTGCAGGTCCGGGGACAGGGCGAGCATTGAATCGTACACTTTGCACTGCATGTGCCCCGTGCTCTGAACCACACAGACCATCCACAGTCCCTCCCAAATGATCTGCGCCGTCACGATGTTGTTGCCAATGAAAGCTGTAACCCTCCACATAGGAAGGACGCAGGTTATAATAGACCCCAGCAACCCAACAAACGAAAGGGCAACTCCTAAAACCTGCAACCCCAAAGATGCCATGGTTCTTTTCGTCCCGTCACACTTCGTTTTTATTGACTGAGAGGGAGTTTATATGCAGACTCCCCAACTCCTCGGGGTGGGATTTGGGGATTTGAACAACGAACTGGATTTGAGAAGCAAAAAAGGGATGTGGTTTTGGACGTGGTTCATTTAAAAAATATATATATTTATTTGGGTCTCTTTTGGTCATATGAACTCCTAAAACACTTCACAACCCTTACATATTTATGGCATGATACACACTTTCGTGTCTGCATGTTTTTTTGTCATTTCATTTGTTTTCCTGTTTTTGTTTTTAATAATATTACTGATAACGTGTTTCAATGTTTTGTAATTGGAAAATCTTAATAAATAAACTGTTAAAAACATTTCACATTCTAACAAATTCACTTAATCTGTCTAACAACATATGCAATAAAACACACAAGGACGCTTTACTCTTAAAGTCATAAACATTTTAAATTATGTATTTAGTTTGATTTGTTGGAAATGTTAGTGAAAAAAAATTATATATGTCAAACTCCGCACTGTAAAATAATTTGTTCACTCAGCTTACATTTTTTTAGTTCTATTTTTGCTTTGACTAAGTTGTTTTATTGACTTTTATTTCTAAAAAGTTTAGTTGACATAATAAAATAGTTGAACCAACTACTTATTTCAAGTAACCTTGACTTGAAAAGTTTAGTTGAAATATGTTAACTTACATTAGAAATTTTTCTGTACTAAAATGTAAGTTACTTTAACTTAATGTGGCATATTTTCTCAACTTGCAATAGCACATTCAACCAAATAAATAACACATTTTGTTCCATATTGTCCCTTGAAAATGAACAAATAATCGTAAAACATGTTGAAATCATATACAGCGATTCCAGAATTCTGTCTAAATTACATTTCAGTTAATGTTCAAAACAATTAACACACTGAAAGTGGATTAAAAAAACGTAACTGTGAAATAACCTTTAAACATGAAATCTATTTTTTCCTATAAAATTACATTTAACGTCATGCCACTGATGGAAACTGTAAAAACATGCCGAGACAACTTTTTAACTTTAAAATACAACAGCTAACACATCTCTTATTAGAAATGCACAACACAATTCTAAATGTTTGTAAATACAAACTAAAAAACAAATTATATAGAAATTACAGAAAAAATTCCATATATATAATTTCTCAATTAAATAAAACGTACCAAAACAAAATCATCAGAAAATGACATTGCAATTGCAAGATGCAAATTTCCTTGGAAAACAATGCGGAAAGTGTATTAATGCATTACATTTGTATGTTGTTGTTTTTTTACACATATATATAATTTCTCAATTAAATAAAACGTACCAAAAAAAATCATCAGAAAATGACATTGCAATTGCAAGATGCAAATTTCCTTGGAAAACAATGCGGAAAGTGTATTAATGCATTACATTTGTATGTTGTTGTTTTTTTACTCTCAAAGTGACATAGCCAATGACTTAAAAGTATAGTTCAACGACTTTATTCAACAGTTCTCCTCTTCCCTGTCAGGGGCAAAAATTGCTGGTCGTGATATAAAAAAGTTTCCGTGGTTTTGTGTGAGCATCATTTAAGAAAAATAAAAAGCAAACATCTGTTTCAACTTCAACAAGGGAGAAAAAATATTGTGATAATAATAATACATTTTCTTTTATAATGAAACGTTATTTTAATTATTAAAAGATCACAATGATAGCCTTAAGAATATGTTCAGAAAACCATACACTGAGACAAATCTCGCAATAATGAGGTAATTAAATTTCTATAAAATTTCTTCTTTAAGCCTTTCAGTAAATTCACCATTTATATATATATATATATATATATATATATATATAATGTGCAATTATTTATTATAAAGCCCGATTTGTGAGTCCATGTGGCCTATGCAAATGTATCTTGCGTTACATGTTTAAATCATGAAGAATCATGCATTTTCAGTGCGTTAGGCCTTTCAGTGGCTTTTAAAAAGTGATTGGAACAAGATCGAATTTCAAAAAATTGGTGGGGACATGAGCCACGTGCAAATGATATGATTATGTCCGTGGTTTGTTATTCAGACAGCCTTGTTTTTGAAATTAATTAGGAGGAAATAGCGGGAAATCCTGACCAGCTGCATCAAATCACATTACAAACCAGGCACTATAAATAATTGCATCGGCCATTCAGGTGCTAGGCTCTGCTACTTTGCATACTAACACGAACGTATAATGGCATCTGCTGGGCTTCAGATTTTGGCCGCTGCCCTCGCGGTCATCGGCTTGTTGGGAGATATCATTATCTGCGCGCTCCCCATGTGGAAAGTGACGGCGTTTATTGGCAACAACATCGTGACCGCACAGATCTTCTGGGAAGGCCTTTGGATGAACTGCGTGCAGCAGAGCACAGGGCAGATGCAGTGCAAGGTCTATGACTCCATGCTGGCGCTACCACAAGATCTCCAGGCCGCTCGAGCTCTTGTTATCATCTCCATTCTCGTGACCTCCTTGGGAGTCATTCTGGCTGTCGCTGGAGGCAAGTGCACCAACTGCATTGACGATCAGGATGCAAAGGCTAAAGTGGGGGTCGTGGCCGGCGTGTTCTTCCTGGTGGGTGGCGTTCTGTGCCTGATCCCGGTCTGCTGGTGCGCGCACACAGTCATCAGAGACTTCTACAACCCCATTCTGTCTGAGGCTCAGAAGCGGGAGCTGGGGGCGTCGCTGTTCATCGGCTGGGGTGCGTCTGGGCTGCTGATCATCGGTGGGGCGCTTCTGTGTTGCCAGTGCCCGAGGAGTGACGGTCGCGGTTATTCCGTGAAGTACTCTGCACCGAGGTCTGCTCCAGGAGCCTATGTGTGAGACTCGGACTTTCTGGACTGGAATGAATTCTCCTGTTTGTTGAAGGAAGAGATTTGAACGTTTTACTTTCTGTTCTTGCTTGACTATTTTAACAATAAATTCATGTTTTCTTTTTATTTTAATGCTTTTTATTTATAAAGTTTCTATAAACTTGGACAAGTGCGCAGCCATCTTTAGGATTCTTTAAATTTTTGCGGTCAGGTTCTAGACCTGAGACAAACCAAAAACTGGTACGGTGCGCTTTTAAAAAGGTCCTAATATGGACCATTTCAGTGGCAACTTAATTTCATTTTTTGGAAGGGTACTGCCACAGTGTTTGTTTGCTGAAAGTGCGTGTTTTATTTTAATGCTTTTTATTTATAAAGTTTCTATAAACTTGGACAAGTGCGCAGCCATCTTTAGGATTCTTTAAATTTTTGCGGTCAGGTTCTAGACATGAGACAAACCAAAAACTGGTACGGTGCGCTTTTAAAAAGGTCCTAATATGGACCATTTCAGTGGCAACTTAATTTCATTTTTTGGAAGGGTACTGCCACAGTGTTTGTTTGCTGAAAGTGCGTGTTTTTGTACCAAACTTACCAATCCATTACAATACTGGGGCTATTTTTTCCCCATCAAGCTCCAAATGCAGCAATAAAATTCTGTATTTGGATGGTGGATAGAAAAGGCAATTATTTTCGAAAGTTAATTAAGATCAACTGATTCTCAAATTCAACCTCATGGCATGCATAAGGCAAAGTTTTCAAAATCCACAGCTAGCTTGGTGTTACACCCCCACCCCATTTGAAGGTTGCTTTAGATGAAAGATGCTAGCTAAATCTCAAATCCAATGTGGCTCTTGCAGGGGCAGTTGTGCAAACCTGGTAAGTCTGTTAGCCAAGGGGGTAATCAGTCTTTCTTTTTAGATTCAAATCAGACCAATCTATCTTTTTGCAACTGACCTTAAAGTTATGACCAGTCTTGAAGTAAAAAAAAAAAGATGACTAACTTTTTAGTCTAAGCAGTTAATGCCGCAGGCCCAGAGGATTGACATTAACATATCATGATTTGAAACCTGCACCATAGGAACCATACTTAAGAGCTGCAGGGCAAGTGAAAATGATCAGAATAGAATTATGTATATTTGTAGGCAAAAACCAGGAAATTAGTTAGCATTTTACACTTCCAGTTTCATTGTCCTGAAGTCAATGTTTAAGCTCTTGTCTTAAAAAGGTGGTTGCTAACAAGTGGCTAAATGAGACTACAGAGGTTGTTGGGGACATTAATTAAACATCGCACTGAACAGGAACTCAAAACCTTCAGGGAAAACATTTGTTTAAATAAAGAGTTGATGGAAGCTTAGTCATGTAGCAGTGGTATAGTTTGTTTACAGCCGTGATTGTATTTATGCTACAAAATTCACAAAAGTTGTTTGTCACAGACCTCATTTTCAGCAATAAAAAAAAAAAAAACTTTTGTCAAAGGGGACCAGGGCTAACCTCCAGGCTAGCCTAAAAATATGTTATTGCAGTGTTCTATAGTAACAAAGTGTCATTTGTTAATAAAACTATATATAACTTCAGAAAACTTGGAAATAATTTTTTTGAAGCATAGTCTCTATGAACTGTTGTTTTATGAAAACAAATGAAAAATAAACAGCATACAGGTTTGGAATGAGCTTTAGGGTGAGTAAATAAAGACAGAAGGTGCATCCCAATTTGCATACTTGTGCACTATTCTGCTGTTTTTAGTATAAATAGTGCAAGTAGTGTGTTCACACTGAACATTCCAAAAGGTGAAAGTGCACTTAAAATGCCTGGATGATGTACTTAACTAAAATGTATAATGTTGGACACTTTATGCACTCAACTGTCACAGCTTTATACTGGATGAGGAAGTGTTTCTGATGTTGGATGACAAATTAATCTTATATAATTCATACACTATACTGTTGAGTACGTAGAGTACAGTGCATCATTTGGGACACAACTAGAATTTTTATTTTGGATGAACTATTGTTTTAGTGAAGCCATGCCCAATTTCAGTGTTTTCAATTTAGGTTAGCTGTTGCTTAAAATAATTGAATTGTACTTTTTCCATGAATCTGTCCTTATTGTGGCTTTACTGATTAGAAGAATCAAGTTGAGCAGGAAACTCTATATGGGTCTCCTCCCCTAGCTTTGCTTTCTCTTTGTTCAAATACCAATACCCGAGGTACAACACGGAAGAGCATTCACTTTGTCAATAGTCGTTTGCGCTCACAACTACAACGTTTTTCCTCCCTTTTATTGCAGATGAATCGGCTTTGTTCTGTAAAAGATGAGACGACAAATCTTGGCTGTATGTCTGGCTGTGTTGGGCCTGTGCGGTACTATCCTGGTGTGTGCATTGCCTATGTGGAAAGTGACGGCCTTCGTGGGAGCAAACATTGTGACAGCACAGGTTTTCTGGGAAGGCTTGTGGATGAACTGCGTCCTACAGAGCACCGGTCACATGCAGTGCAAAGCGTATGACTCCATCCTGGCTCTGACTCAAGATCTCCAGGCAGCTCGAGCTTTGATCTGTGCCTCTATTGCAGTCAGTGTGGTTGCCATTGGACTGTCCGTTGTTGGAGCCGACTACACCAACTTTTATAGAGAAGAGCGACTTAAAAAGACTAACACTGGAATAGCAGCTGGTGCAGTCTTTATAGTTGCAGGTGTACTGTGCCTTGTTGCTGTCAGCTGGTCGGCATATGTTATCATCTTGGACTTCTATAATCCTCAAGCAATAGCAGGGAGAAAAGGAGAACTGGGAGCCTCCATCTATGTAGGATGGGTGGCCGGTGTTCTGCTGATTGTAGGTGGTGGGCTGCTCATCAGCACATTCTCCAACCGATGTTGACCAGATGTGTTTTAAGCCTTAAGTAACTCAAGTGATGTTTGGATTGTGCAACTTTTGTTGCGAACATCCGACTGTTAGTACAAATGCGTTTATATGGTCACAAATGAGCTTTTTTTGATTAGTGATTTATAATATGTTAAATAATATAGGCAAGGCAAGGAAAGTTAATTCATATATAGCACATTTCATACAATGGTAATTCAAATTGCTTTACAGAAAGAGGATTAAAACAATCAGCAATCATAAAAAGGAAAAATCATAATCATAATAAAAGAAAAAATTATAATTAAAATAAATGAGCTAAAATGAAAAATTATATATTAAAAGGACATAAAAGGAAGATTAAAAAAGAATAGTGCAGTGCAATCTATACAGCAGAAAAACAGTGTATACAAATATTTCTTCTTTATTTTGTCACAATTTGCTATTTATTTGCAGGCTAAAAAAAAAATCCAATATTTGTTGAACCCCATTTCTTAAATCTGTTGTATGTCTTCTTTACTTATTATATTGTTCAGTCATTTGTTCAGATAAGCTGTGTTATGTTTATAAAATTGGTTTTCTGATTATAAATATAACTTTTCTTTTTTCTTTTTTTTTAGATTTCAGGTTGCCTTAGATTTACCAACTAGAAACAAACCAGCAATATTTTAAATATTTTATCTTATTTCATATAAATGTGACCAAAATGTGAAAATGTCAAATAAATACTAATAATTAATGTAATTCTTGATCTCTTTTATGTACATTTATTTGTGTTTTACTTTTTCCAATGTAGAGAACACAATGAGAATACAAAGAAATTAAAATTATGTTTAAAACAGGTTTAACTGAAGGATTAGTCACAAGAATATTTAAGATTATAGTCCAGCAATATTTTAAATATTTTATCTTATTTCATATAAATGTGACCAAAATGTGAAAATGTCAAATAAATACTAATAATTAATGTAATTCTTGATCTCTTTTATGTACATTTATTTGTGTTTTACTTTTTCCAATGTAGAGAACACAATGAGAATACAAAGAAATTAAAATTATGTTTAAAACAGGTTTAACTGAAGGATTAGTCACAAGAATATTTAAGATTATTGAGTAGAATGTTTTAAATAATATTTGGCTAAGTACAAAAAATGAAAAGATGATATCCCATGAAGATTTCAGAAGCAAAAGTGCAAGAGGGTGGCTGTAATATTTCAACTAATAAACATTTACACAGACATATATGGTAATCTATGCTATTAGAAGTTATCTACTATTTATTTATTTTTACATTTCTGAACCTTACGGAAATGTGGTGAGTGTTACTGGCGTCAGCAGCATACTGAGCTGATTATATCTTTTGTGGTAAGACCACTAACCAATGTTGCTTGCTTGCAGACAAGCTATCAGCATGAATGCAGAAAGTACAGCCAGGTCTGCCAAACAAAACCAGCCCAATTGCTACTCGTAACTAGCCCAACTGCATTCCGTGGGGGTGGTCGCTTCAACCCACGACTCAAAAATTACGAAGCTAACAACACAGAACAGCATACGCCGTTTACGTCCAGCGGATACTCTCCAAAATGGCACCAGGGTGATGCGGAGGAGATGAATTGTTGAATAAAGTCTTTTTTTATTTTTTTCACTCAAGAAAAAAATAAAAACAAAACAGTGTCATTAACATTCAATGCAATTTCTTTTAAACTTTTCTTGCTCTTTAAACTGTTTAAACATCCATCTCAACTTTCATGAGCAAGGAGTGTCTTCTTAACAGAATATCGAGGATGTGCAAATTAATATTCATAACTAAACAGAAAACATCATTCAACATTTCACAATTCATATTAACACTGAGAAAATATGCAAACGATCTTTGAAGTGTACACAACGATAGGTATAGCAATAGGGCTGAACGATTTTGGAAAATAATCTAATTGCGATTCAATATGCAATTATTTTTTTAAAGCTCTTTATGTTCTGTATTATTCAGCAAAGACAAGCTATAAATCATTGTATAGTATAACCAACACAATATTAGATATATTAAACATAAATGTTCTTTTCTGTAGGCCAGGCCTATGTTACGATGAAATTAGGTGATGCATGAATTGATATGACATTTTTATTTAACAACTACAATCACAGTACATTGAGTGATTTGTTGAACTTCCAACCTTGTAAGCATGTAATAATTATGTTTAAATAAGCCTGGTGTAAACATTAATATGAAAGTCAGTAACAAATCACACAAACTAAAGTAGATTGCAGAAATATA